AGCTCCCAACAGGCTCCATAATGGCCCCAGAAAGGGTTCCACGAGCGCCAGAAGACGCCCGCAAGAGCCTCCCAATGCGGTCTCTGGAGGCCCCCAGGAAGGCCAAAAGTTCCAGGACTTTCGTCGGGAGGGCGGGGGGGGCCGGCGACCTGTAAAAACACAGGATAGACTCACCCTTTTCAGGTGGCCAGGGGGGGCGTTGGAACAACATTTTGGCGCCCACAGGCCCCCCAAAAAGGAGCCCAGCGTGGCGGTTCGTATTGGTGTGGCGAGCAAAACCGCCGTCAGCAATTGCAGATGGCGCCGCAATCTCTGCGCTCAGCTCCACGCGCCCACTGTAGCACGACAGTAGCACGGCGATCGCCAGCGCGCTGACCCCCCCTTTCGCCCCCCCTCCCAGCTGGCGAAACGCAAGTCCGACGCCATTGCCATACAGTCCTCCTCCCTCCCTCCTCTCACCTCCCCCACACGAGCCAAAGAGGAGAGGGGGGGGGGCTTCAAGCTCCCCCCCCTTTTGCACCAAGGGAGGGAGGGGGGGGGGAGCTTCCAAAGCCCCCCCCCCCTTTCAAAAGGGGGGGGGCTCACCCCAGCTCCATTAAAAGGAGGGAGGGGGGGTAGCTTGGAAGCCCCCCCCTTGACCGGCCACGAAAAGAGGGGGAGGGGGGGGTAGCTTCCGAAGCCCCCCCCCCCCTTCAAAAAGGGGGGGGGGGGTCCGAAGCCCCCCCCCTTTAGCAAAGAAGGGGGGAGGGGGGTAGCTTCAAGCTGGGCCCCCCTTTCTAGTCTGTCGGGCCCCACGAGCGCGGCCTATCAAACATACATACATGCATACATACATACATACATGCATGCATACATACATACATACTTATATACAAGCATGCAAATATACATACATACATACATACATACATACATACATACATACATACATACATACATACATACATACATACATACATACATACATACACAAATACATACGTACATACACACATACCTACATACATACGAGAGAACGCGTTTCACGGGCGCTCGCCTGGGGAACATTCGGCGGCGCGTTTCGAACTGGGGGGTGCCCCCCCCAACACTCGGCGCCGTCGATCAAAACCAAGGGGCCTCCAGCCCGCCCCCTCCCGCCCCCCCCCCTCGGCGCCGGCGCCCGGCGCTGGTGGCCGCCAGCAGCGCCCACGGCGGGGACGCAGCGACGATGACCAGAGGCAGCCCAAGGGGGGGGGGGGGGGGGTTCAACCCCTCCTCCCCCCCTGGCGCCGGGGGGGGGGAAGTTTCACCCCCCCCCGCGCCGGCCCCGGCGCTGGCGGCGGCCAGCAACGCTGGCGCTGGGGCTGGCGACGGCGGGGACGCAGCGACACTTACCACCACTACCACCACCACCACCACCACCACGACCACCACCGCCACCGCCTCAACCCACCACGACCACCACCAACAACAGCACCACACAACCACCACCACAGCCACCACCACCACCACAACCACCACCACAACTCACCATCACCACCACCACCACCACCACCACCACCACCACCACCACCACCACAAAAACACACCACCACTACCACCACCAGCACATATCTACCACACCACCACCACCACCGCCACAACTACCACCACTACCAGCAGCACAACCCACCACCACCACCACAAACCACCACACCACCACACCACCATTACCACCACCACCACCACCACAAACCACCGTCGTCTTCGTCGACGCTCCCCGCCACCGCCGCCCGCCGCCGCAGGCGCCGGCGCCGGCCCAGAAATGGAAATCGTCGTCCCCGCCGCCGTCGCCAGCCGCCGCCGACATAAGCGCTGGCCCGAGGAGAGGGGGCGCAGAGGAGGGAGGGGGAGTGAGGGGGTTCGAACCCTCCCTCCCCTCCATCCAGGGGAGGGGGGGGGGTCCAGTTTCACCCCCCCCCCTCCAAGCGACCACAGAACGCGCTCATATATACATCAATGCATGCATGCATTCATGCATGCATGCATATATATATATATATACAAATATCTAGTATGGTGCAAAGTGCGTGGTACATGCGTTGTGTGTGATGCTTTGTGTGCGCTGCGTTTCGCGTGCTGTGTGATTGAGCCGCGTCGAGAGCACATTGACGGCCTCCTGGGTCGGCTTGAGGGCCCTGACGGACGCTCTTGTGGCCACATTGGCCCGTCTTAATGCTTGATGTCGTGTTGGGGTTATCGTGGGGTCATCTTGGGCCGTCTAAGGCCAGATTCGGGCGCTCTTGGAATCCTCTGAGGGACTTTTCGGGGCTCAATTGGGATTTGTTGAAGCCCTCCAAAAACGACTCACAAACTATGTTGATTCAAAGCCCCCTTCGAAATCAATGCTTACATCAACCAACCGACTCAAGCGTAGGACCCATGGGGGCCCATCTGGAGGAGAAACACTTCTGGGGCGCGCCAAAGAACCCAGGGGGTCATATTTCCGCGTGTGGGGTTCCCCCCCCCTGTCGCAACCAGAGCGTGAGAGCCCAGATTGCGAATGCTTTCCAGCACCACTCTAGAAGTAGTTGTACTAAAATTGTGCTAGCACCTACGCTGGAATCGTGTTATACTGTGGTGCGACTTGATCATATACTTGCAGCTGATTAAGCCCCTCATCACTCTAGAATTAGCTGCACACTTGTACACGCTAGTGCCAATTGTCCGCAAGAACTAGCTGTACAAAAATCCGAAGAGTTCAAGGGTTCCAATGGCACGGCGCTTGCGGAAAAATAACATAATCCACGCGCCGCCAAAGGTCCAAGGTCTAACGGGTCGCCGCGAAAAGGGACGCCCCGCGGAAGGAGGAAAAGAAATCTGGCCAGGGAGTTGAGGGGTCCAGTGCCAGGCATGAGTCGAGGAGTTATCTTCTTACAGGATTCCTCAAGCGAACCACCCCAAGCACAAAGGGGAACCCGACCCGACAAGAACGGGAATCGCCGTTTCTGTGGACTTGCGTGCACGCGGAGGGATTCACAACCAAAGCGAAATGGGTTCACATGGAGTGCCGTCGCATGGTCTCCCAAGAACACCTGTACGGTTGCCATGCTTTGCCCTTGTGAAGAGGTCGCCGGTGGTTGCCTCGGCAAGGTGCTGCGCGTGGCGTGTGCGCGTATATGCGTGTGCGTGTGTGTGTGTGTGTGTGTGTGTGTGGCGGGGCACAGGGTGCGTGCTAGGCGGGAGGGACGGGGAAGCGCACGGTGATCGTGCCGAAGCTTCCTGCCCACGCTTTGCTGCGCAGTTCTTGTGATGTGTCGTTTGCTGCGCTGCGCTGAACGGCTTAAGCTATGTAGTTATGTCTTGCTGAGCGCTGCATAAAAACATACACACACAGACACACACACACACACCTCGTTCGGATCAGGCGCTTGCCGTGATATGTTCAATCCCGAGCCACGGGTCGTTAAAGTCAAAATTAATGTGTGGTGCAGAATGGCGTACGTAATCAAAATGCCAACACCTCCTCGTTCCGAGAGGACGCTTCCCGTCATCCGCCAACGAAGGAGCGTTTCACAATCGCGGCCCAGTGGTCTGCAAGGGGCATCCCGAGAGACATCCCAAAAGACCTCCGCAAGGCATCCAAAATGACTCTGGTCTTGGAGGCGGCCGTGGTCTGAACTGGTGAATTGGTTGGGACCCCAGGAAACTCTGTCAGGAAAGGGGGGATGAGGCCAAATTCGCTCAAAATCGGTAGAAAAACGAAGAACGACACGAACAACAAAACAGAGGCCCAAACCAAGCTAAACAGCGCTGTGGCTGGTCCTTGTCACTAGATAACCTGACTTTCCTGGCCTGAATTTGGCTCCGTCGCCCCTTCAACCTCTCTGGCTGTTCCTCGCCTCGCGCGTTCCCTCTTCCCTGTGCCTCCCTGTGCTCCGGCGTGCCCCCCCGCTGTTCGACCGGCGTCTGATCCTCTTACGCCCACGGACCCGAAAAAGAAATCCATGGGGCACATCCGAAGGAAAGAACTTCTGGAGCGCCAGGGATCCAACATTTAACGGGTCGCCGCGGATGGGATAAAAGAAATCCAGCCAGGGCGGGTGGGGGTCCAGGCATGAATCGGGGAGGTGATGATAATCCACAGCATGTTTCAGCGGTTAGCGAGGGGGGAAGTGAGAAGGATGAGGTTTCCTGTCCTCGTGGAAGGCTTAGAAACTTCTCAGAGGGCCCGTGGACTTCTGAGCCTCATGAGAAGGCCCGCCCCTCTGGGACGGGTGGTGGTTTTTCGGTCATAACTCGTCTCTCTGGCGGCCGTTCGGGACGATCTGGGCGCCCGAAACGCCCGAAATTCCCCCCCCCCGCTCGCCGCCACACGGCAAAGAGGGGCGCCTGCGCCGCTTCCGCCGGCGGTACCTGACCCCGGCAAGTCATGCCCACCTTTCGACCTCCAACGCCGCCTGCTCCCCGTTCCCTTACGGCCGGCTCGCGTCGTGTCGACCCCGTCGAGGAGCGGAGGCGAGGCGAGGCGAAAGGGTAAGGGAAGAGGGGGTCCGATTCGAGGGTGAAGCCTGGACGTCGAACTGGCTGGTTGGACGGTACGGCAGATTCGCGTCGTACCGACTTCGGCGTCGGTTCCTGACTCCGCGGGGATCGCTCAACCTTGAACGATCGGCCGTTTCCGAGAACGCCAGCGGCGCGGTCGCTGCTGGTCGACACGACGCGAATTTACCGTACACACTTCCCTCGCCCTCACAAGTGTGAGGGGGTGCTCCCGCCTCCCTTTCGCGCTCTCCCCTTCTCCCCCCCTCCCCCGAAGGAAGACGACGAGGACATGGAGGAGAACGAGGACGAGAAAGAGGATGATGGGCAAATTTTCCAACACCACAACATAGGTAGGACGGGAGGAAGGGAGGATGGGGAGGTCCTCCTCCTCCTCCTCCTTTTCCTCCTCTTCGTCCTCGTCCTCTTCCTCCTCCCCCCTCTCCTACCGATGGTAGTGGTGTTGGGAAATCGGCCCATCGAGGACGGCCCGACCAGGCCTCTTTCATGGCCACGTCCGCGGCTCTGGACGGCACCGATCTCGCAGCGGCCGCGCGGGGGGCGAAGGAGAAGTGGCGGAAGGCGGAGGGGTCCGACGGTGCCGTGCAGCGCCCCTTCGCATGGCCCCGCCGTGCCGGTCCTCCCCCCCCCGCCAGAACAAATGCACGGCACACCGGGGACTCTTGCCAGGAAGCAGAAGGCGAAAGAGGGAGGATCCCCCTGCTAGTCCTCCTCCTCCTCCTCCTCCTCCTCCTCTTCCTCCTCCTCCTCCTCCTCCTCCTCCTCCTCCTCCTCCTCCTCCTCCTCATGTCGACGTTGCCCAGACGTGAGGCACAAGCTTGTCGCGCTTCAGTGCAGGTGAAAAACCGCCGACTTAGCGGAACGGTGAACAAAATAATCTGGCGGGCGCAGCGGACCAGGATGTGCGAAACGATCAGAAAAACAGAGGGCGGTAAGACAGCAGTTGCGCCTGGCGTTTCCTTGGTGTCCTTCCCATCGCCACAAATTATAATGACCCGGATGCCCACCCCCTTTCCCGTACGTGTAGGACAAGGCATTCCGCAGCCAACATCTAAACATGCAGCGCAAGCGACTGTGGAGAAAGTCGAAGTGAACAAGCTCCTGTAGGGCAGGGAGACCTGTAAGACGGGGGGACAACTAATAACAGGGGCTGCGGTAGAAAGGCCGGCGCTGTAAATGTTGGCCTGTATTTTTCGACGAGCTGGCCGCGCTTTTGGTAGGGTCATGCTTGCGGGTGTGTGAATGAGTGGGGCCAGTCCCTGTAGGACAGGGGGTCCCGAAACGAAAAGCGAACTCGCATCTCCTCCGCGCCTCCTCCCACCGACCTGCCAATTTCCATCCATCCCCCTCTACTGCGCGTTGTTGGGCCGGCGCCGCCTGGCCTTGGATTGGAGGAAAACCTGGCAAGACAGAGTGGCAAGGCAAAGCGAACGCAGTAAAACTAATATAAGATGAGGCGCTGGGAATACCAACGACCAGGCTCGTGGTAGAGTTGCCTGCAAGCTGGTATTAGGCTGGCCAGGGAGGTGCTGGCTGGCCTGTGTGACGCGTATAAAAGAAAGCCAGAATGCAGAGACGCCGAAGTTTTGATCAGAATAGCACCTGGTAGGAACTTGGCCGCGCCCTCAGAAAAGGATCGCGTCTGGGTGCGCTTCTTCCTTCACATTCCCCAAGCGCCACCAGCTACCCCATTCCGAACATCCAAACCCCTGCAGGTGTCGCCTCTGCGAGCAAAGACAGCGTGACTGACATGGTAAAGTGGCGTAGGAGTGATGGTTTGGCAGTAATGTGGCAGCTTGACATATGAATGTGCGCGGCAACGGCTGAGAAACCACTGTAGCAGGAGGAAGCCGCCAGCACGACGGACAGGATGACCCTGCGACTTTCCATCTCCCTTCACCGGATGAACGCGCGGGCCATTTCTGCAGCGGCTGCAGCAACCGCGGCCAGGGGCGACCCCGGCCCGCCTGGCGGCGGCGGCGGCGGCCGTCGCGTTAGGCACAAGGACAGGTGGCGGGCGCCGAGGACGACGAGGTGAGGGAGGGCGACCAGGAGGAGGAGGAAGAGGAGGAGGAGGAGGAGGAGAAGAAGAGGAGGAAAATGCGGAGGCGGAGGAGCAGCAGGAGAACGACGACGAGGCCATGAGGAGGAGGAGGAGGAGGAGGAGGAGGAGGAGGAGGAGGAGGAGGAGGCAACAGGGAGGCGCTGAGGAAGCCCAGAGGAGGAGGGCAGCGACCGGGAGGAAGAAGAGGATGAACAGCGGCAGGAGAGCGACGACGAGACCATGACAAGGCAGCAAAGAGGCGCTGAGGAAGCCCAGCGAAAGCGGCCAGGACAACGGCGACGAGGCGGCCCCGAAGGAGGTAGGAGGCAACGCAAGACGGGCGTCGAGGAGGATGAGGAGGAGGACGAGGAGGAAGCAGAGCAGGAAGGGATTGCAAAGGATACGGTCATTGCCACGAGCGCCCATACCGCAGCGCTCGCGGCGAACTGAAAGGCGAAGCAAAACAGCAAGTTCGTCATTCCCGGTGTTGCCATGACCCAGACCCGCCAAAAGAAGGCGACAAAGGACGGGAAGCGCGAGATCTTCTGCAAATCGTCACGGGGAGGGCGAAAAGCCAAGGCAATCGTGAAGGCCTTCCCCGCGAACGCTCCCAAGGACGAGTTCTGAGGGCCCCCGTGTTGGTCGGTGGTTGGGGAAGTGGTCCAGGCTTCCGAGGCCCACGCATCGAAACAACTGTAGGTAGGCAGAGGGGAGAGGCTGCACTTACAAACTGGTGCTGTGGTAAGTAGTCCACAATGGGGTGGGCCCTGATGGCCAGCCCCCTATTTACTCGCCACTGGCATTGGACACCAAAAATCAGTATAACAATTAAACCTAAGGGTTGCACATGTCAGAGAGAGAGAGAGAGAGCGTGATCCACTGCCGCTTTACTGTGGAAAATTGCCGCCCTTTTCCTCCGGAGCCCGGGGTCCCCCCCCCCCCCTTCCGAAAATCCCCCCCTTCCCCCGGCAACCCCCCCCCCCCCTCGAACTCGAAAACCGGGGGGGGTCACTACTGGTTCGAACCCCCCCCCCTCGAAAACCGGAGGGGGGGGTCACTACCGGTTCGAGCCCCTCCCCACCCCCCCTCTCACCTCCAGCAAACTCCCCACTGGTTCCACCACAGCCCCTACTGTCCCCACCAGTGCCACCACCACTGTCGCACTGTCCCCACTGTCCCCACCACTGTTCCCACCACGGCTCCACTCTCCCAACTTTCTCCACGACTATCCCCAATGTCCCCGCTGTCCCACTGACTCCTCCGCTGTCCCACTGAGCTGTCCCACTGTTCCCACCACTGTCCCCACTGTCCCCACCACTGTCCCCACTGTCCCTCTGTCCCATTCGCCTTTACCACTGTCCCCACCACCACTGTACCCTCTTCCTAGGCACTCTCAAACGGCGACGGCGCGAAACCTGACGCCCCCCTCCCCCTGGCAACGCCGGCTATCGCCCGGGCACAATTTGTAGCCAGAGTCCAGTCTCCCCAAGCCAGATAATTACCAATACCCCCCACGTTCACGCACTCTACCGCCCGGGAATAAGCAACGCTCTCCTGGCAACCGCTGACTTCATTGTTCCCCAGCCGACTCAGGACGATGCCCAACAGCCTTCCTTGGACCCGCCCCGATCTGGGGAGCCAGGAGAGGTCGCGCTTCATTTTGGCCCGAAGCTAGGACACCAATGAACAGTGGAAAGGCACTGAGCGTTATCCCTGGACTATCGTAACGGGGACAAGAGAGTGGGAAGAAGGACAGCTGATAGGGGAGGGGGGAGCGTACGGGAAGGAAGGCATCGGATGGATGGGCTGGGGGCGACAGGCGACGACGGCGATCGAAGGAAATGACAACTCGCTGTGACACGCCGTCGCGCCCTCTCAGAAGACGAACAAAAACTGCAGAAGCAGAAACCTGTGGAGGTCCGCGCGGATCTCGTGGGTCTGCTCTGGCCCCCCCTCCCTCGCGCGCGGGGCGCGCCAAAGGCGGCGCTGGTCCGAGAAACCCGCGCAGGCAGTCAAAAGTTTCTGGTTAATACAGCCGTCTCTTCGACTCCGGCACGGGTCGGAGGGGGCCAACGTTCGGCCGCCAGCGTGCTGCCCGGGCGCCAGACCCTGGGACCACGGCGGCACGGCAGCCCCTTCTCCCCGGCATCGGCGGCCTGGATCTCCGCGGGTGGTCCCGTGTCTCCTCCGCGTGGAGGTCCAAGAACGTGTTCTGGGCGCCGGGGGGATCGGCTGGGAATCGGCGGCGCGCCGTCGGGGGAAGTGAGAGGGAGAAGGCCTTCTCAGAAGGCGGCGGGGCTTCTCGGAAGCCCTTCGGCCTTCTGAGAAATGCTCTGCGTCATCGGGGAAGGCTTGGACAACTTCTCAGAAAGGCCGAGGGCCTTCCGAGCCTTCTGAGAAGGCCCGCCCCAGCTCACTTCCCCCGATGCGAGCCGCCGAACAATGGCAGTGGAATGTGCAGCAACGGTCTGCTGCTCTGGCGCGCAGAGCCCGCCATGGGCGGCGCCAGAGGCGCCGACAGGGGGCTCCAGCGCAGATCCAACAATTCTGCGCGGGCCTCTAGATTTGTATGTGTATGCATTTGGGGGGGTCTTCTAGAAACGTCTTTCCCGCAATGGCCCCCTGGCCACATCGGGTGCATATAAGTGTACATACGCTTCCTAGACGTTCCCAGAACGTGGCTAGTAGCTATGTTCTTCTAGGGAAAGAGAGGTTTGCGGGGTACGCTTCTAGTTTGTATTCAATGGGGTACGGCAGAATTAGCGGAAGAGTGGCGTCGCAGGCGAATCATTAATGGAAAGTGGCGAACATGAAATAATTATATGATTATATGAAACCAGATCTTTTGAGAGAGGTGAACCTTAGCAGCAGGCATTTGATGCGCCCATGCCTACGACACCACTCGCTGTTTTGGTTACTGATTCCCGAAAATTGTTGTCGATCCCGCCGTGGACTAGTTCCAACCTCCCAACTGAGCTCCCAGAGCCCAGAACAAATTCCCAGGCAGGTCCTGGACCTTCCAGAGCAGCAGACCGTTGCTGTACATTCCACTGCCATTGTTCGGCGGCTCGCATCGGGGGAAGTGAGCTGGGGCGGGCCTTCTCAGAAGGCTCGGAAGTCTTCCAACCTTCTGAGACATGTTCAAAGCCTTCCCTGGAGACGCAAGACAACCGTCAGGAGGCGCGAAGGCTTCTGAGAAGCCCCACCGCCTTCTGAGAAGGCCCACTCCTTCTCGATTCCCCCCCATGGCGCGCCGCCGAACTTGGTTTTTGGGTCATAGCTCGGGCCTCCAGCAGCCGTTCGGGACGAACCGGGCACCCCCGGAACGCTCTCGGCGAGGCGCAGCCGCTGGAACGCATCCCGAGGGTGGAAAACCGCCAAGAAACTACGGAAACGCCCGAACACCTCGAGGAGAAGGGGAGAGGAGGGAGGGAGAGGAGAAAGAGAAAGGCTCGCCGCCGAAAGCAGACTGCCGGCTTCCCCACCGAGGAGACGGGGGCCCCACCGTGCCGAACACCAGCCGGGGGGAGGGGGGGGGGGCAGACGACGAGGAGGAAAGGACAGCAGGCGGCAGCGTCTGCCCCTGGGGGCCCCCCGGATCGCTGTGCCCAGGCGCTGCCGCCAGGCAGGGAGAAACCATCTGAGCGACGATTGAAGCGTCCAGTCGCACATACGGACTGACCTACTGGATATAACGGATATGAACGAGCACTGTCGCACTCACAATCAGGGCCCAACGAGACCCTTCTGCGCGCCACTCCCACTGCACGAAGGCTCCATCTATGCTCCCTGCAGCCCGTGGAGGCTCCCAGGAGGCCACCGAAGGCTCCTTCGGGTTGATCGGAGCCACATTTCTGGTGTGCCCGTCTGAGCGACGATCGAAAACGGGTCTTACGCAGGATGACACAGCGACCTGACACGGTGGCCTTCGCGGGCCGTCAGCGCGGCACGCCACAGTGGAAACGAAGGCGCTTACGCGCGGCCGCGGGCAGCTTACGCGCCAATGTCGGCGCAATCGAACCCGTTTTTGAGCGTCGCTCATCTGCCGCTGCGCTGCTAGGCTACACAGGGAAAGGGGAACGAGGAGGACGGAAACAGAGACGGTAGAAGAGACGGTAGAAAAGCATGATCACGGTCACACGGAGCTTGTTACTGTGAGAAAAACCTGCGTAAACATATATAAACTAGAACCACGCGCGCGCTTCGCGCGCGCTTAGGTTCTGTCGAGTCACAGACCCAGGAATCCTCCTCCTCCTCCTCCTCCTCCTCCTCCTCCTCATCTTCCTCCTCATCCTCGTCCTTTCCCAAGCGATACAATAACAACTTACGTGGAACCCCTCTCGGGCACATCTTGGGGCTCTCTTGGGCCGCCTTTGGAGCCTCTTGGGGCGTCCTGGGTCTCTCGTGGGGGCTTCTTGGAGCTCTCTTGGCGCCTCCTGGAGCCTCTTGGGGCCGAAAGCTCGGAATTCTACAGTGGCTTTCTCCCTCTGGGACCCCTCTCGGGCACGCCTTGGGGCTCTCTTAGGCCATTTTGGAGTCCAATTTTGCCGTCCTGGGCGCCTCGTGAACCGTCTTGGAACTCTCTTGGGGGCCACCTAGGCCGTCTTGGGAGCCTCTTCGGACGTGTTGGACGCGGTGAAAACCCAACAGGCGACCATGCGAAAAGTATACGTTTTCCCATAGGAATGGGACCATTTTTGCTTCTTGGACCTCTCTTGGGGTGCCTCTCGGAACGTCTTGGGCTGATTTTGGAAGCCTTTTGGCGCCTCTGGGCGGCGTTTTGGCGCCTCCTGGGATGTTGGGCCGGAAGCTCGGAATTCGAGAGTGGCTTTCTCCTTCTGGGACCCCTCTCGAAGTCGTCTTGGGGTTCTCTTGGGCCGTCTTGGGGCCGTCCTGAGCCACTCGTGCGCAGCCTTGGAGCGCTCCCGGAGGCCTCCTAGGCCGTCTTGGAGGCCTCTTGGGCCATCTTGGACGCGGTGAAAGCCCAAGATGCGAACATGCGAAAAATATACGTTTTCCCATAGGAATGGCACGACTTTTGTTTCTTGGACCTCTCTTGGGGTGCCTGCGATGAAGACGGCGGCGATCGCGGCGACGAAGGTAGCGGCGGTTGCCATGGGTTAGTACCCAATCAGAGTTTGCCTCTGTAAGGGTCCTGGCGGATTAAAAGGTTCGATGAGGTTCGGCAAGATTCCGGCCCCATGCGGCCGGGCCGGGTGCCCGGAAGCCCGGGTGCCCGGGTGCCCGGTGCCTGGGTGCCTGGGTGCCCAGTGCCCGGGTGCCAGGGTGCCTGGGGGTGCCCTATCGCCCTATAGCCCTGTAGCCCTATTGCCCTATAGCCGTATAGCCCTATAGGACTATAGCCCAATAGCCCTATATCCCTATATCCATCTAGCCCTTTAGCTCTATAGCCCTCTGATCCTATAGCCCTGTAGCCCTATAGCCCCATAGCTCTACAGCCCAACAACCCTATAGCCCAATAGCCGAATAGCCCACATAGCCCTATAGCCCTATGGCCCTAGCCCTATAGCCCTATAGCCCTACAGCCCTATAGCCCTGTAGCCCAATAGCCCTGTAGCCCAAGTCGTTTTCATCCTGAGTCGTTTTCTGACGGTCCCGGGAACCTGCGAGGGGCCCCGGAGGCCGAAAATTAACAAAAACCGCCGTCGTGATTTTTCCAAGACGTCGGAGGTCCAGGTCGTGCTTCCCGCCTCCCCAGACCTCCGACGTCGTAATTTTTGCGACCTCGGGCCCAGGAATCGATTGGGAAAACGCACATGGGAAGGCAAGAAATGATGGACCCATCATTTCGTACCTGTGCCTTGATCAGTGGGACGGGCTTCGCACCGCCGCACATCACAAGACACGCTCGAGCGGATCCAGCCGTGGCGACGTCGGGGACTGCAGAAGGTCGCAAGGACACAGAATGTGAAAGGAGAGAGAGAAAGAGAGAAAGAGAGGGAGAGAGAGACAGACAGACAGAGAGCGAAGGAGAGAGAGAGAGAGAGAGAGAGAGAGATGGAGAGAGAGAGAGAGAGAACAAAAAAAAAACAGAGAGAGAGAGAGAGGCAGAGAGAGGAAATGGAGAGGAGGCGAGCTTGAGTCAACGAAAGTCGCAGGGAAGGGGGCAGGGGGAAGAAGGCCAGAGAGCGCTGAAGGATACAAATACTGGAACCCTCTTGGGATTTTTGTTGGGGGCCTCGTCCGGCCGCTCGCTGGGAGTTTGACGTAGCTTCTCGGGAGCCTCTGAACCTGTCGGAGGCCTCCTGGAAGCAGGTTCGAAGCATTTTGGGGGCCGATTTGGGGCTTCTCGGGGCCTCCTTTGGGCCTCTTGGGGGTCTCCTGGGGCCTCTTGAGGGGCCTCCTTGGGGCCTCCTGGCGGCCTCTTGGGGCGGAAGGCTCGAGCTTGCGGTTCGTGGTCCCCCTCTGGGCCCCCTCTTGGGCCCGTCTTGGGGCCCTCTTGGGCCATCTTGGGCGCCTCTTGGGCCGTCTTGGGGCCCTCTTGGGCTGTCCTGGGGCCCTCTTGGAAGCTTCTTGGGCCGTCTTGGGGCGGTCTTGGGCGCCTCTTGGGCCGTCCTGTAACGTCGGAAAGCCCAAAAGGCAACTTTGTGAAAATGTACGTTTTACGAAGGGAATGGGCAAATTTTTGCGTCTAGGGGCCCTCTTGGGGCGCATGTTGGAGGCTTCTTGGGGCGTCTTGGGGGCGTCCTTGGACGTCTGGAGGCCATCTTCAGCATCTTGGAGCCCTCTTGGAGGCCTCTTGGAAGTTGCTTGGGCCGTCTTGGGCGCTTCTTGGGCCGTCTTGTCTGACCGGGGAGGCCTCCGGCAAGCCCCGACGAGCCTCCGGGCCCCCCGGAGCCCACATTTGTGGTCGAGGTCCCGGCCCCGGGCCCCCGGACCCGGTGCGCCGTTATATGTATACATTCGGAGCTCCGCGGGGATTTCTTGTTATGGCGCTGGCTACCCTTGCGGCGCCTCTGACGCCGCCCCTGGCGCGCTCCGAACCACGGGAAAGGGGGTCCAGCACCGATCCGAGAAATCCGCGCGGAGCTCCGAATGTTTCTGCTTCTGCAGTTTTTCTTCGTCGAGGCCTCCGACGCGTCGGCCCGCTCAGCACGACTTGAGGCCTGGGCTCGCCGAAGGGCGCCCGCAGCACGCCCCGCTCCCGCCGCGGCACTCGCAGGACGTGCGCGACGCACCAGCCCTGGCTTGGCTCGGCATGGCCCGAAAAGCAGGAGATCGTTTGGAATGCTTCGGTGATTGGCCACGAGCCGCCCGTGTGCACCGCCTCGCAGGGCAAGGGGCGCGAGTGCGGGACAACGGGCGATGCTCAGGCGAGCTACAAGCGGTCTGTGACCCAAGTGCCTAGAGCTTCTGCAAGAGTGGAGATCGTCTGTCTTTCTCGGCGATAGCCCGAGTTATCCGCTGGGGGGACAGGGGGGGGAAGTGCTGGCGCCGACAACCCCACCTTGTCGCTTTGGGCAGCCCCACGCATGCCCGCGCGAACCAGCACTGCGTACCCCCTTCGGACCTGCGCAGCCGACAGAGTCTGGCTATCTGGGGGGGGGGAAGGGCGGGCGGGCCCGATGACCCGGGTGATCGCCGGACCCCGGAAAAACGGTCTCCAGGCAGTCAAGCGGGCTCACACGAAGCCCTCGTGGTCGCACTCTCCATCGGACTCGGAGTCCATGCCCGCAGAGGCTCGCTGGATCAATTGACGACCCAAGCCCTGCACTCGTGGGCGATCGTCGGCCGTCAGGCCAAACGCGCCAGGATGGCAGGACGCGCTCGCGACGGGCGCAGGCCGCAACAGCGCGTCGTTGTGGGCCTCGGCCTCAGACTCGTCGTCGTCGTCGTCGTCGTCGTCGTCGTCGTCGTCGTCGTCGTCGTCGTCCGGAGCGGGCCGGCGACACTGCGCAGCGCGTCGCGACGCAGGCCGCAGCAGAAGAGGGATGAGGCGAGCTCAACGAAGAGGAGGCCCAGGACGAGGAAGACGACAACGCGGCTCAGGAAGCTTCTCCTTGCGAGGCGAGCTAGGCCGAAATCTGTGCAAAATCGGTCCATCCTGGCTGCTGGTTTTCCATCCCACATCGATTTGACAGCCTCGGGTCCCGGAACGTGTCCCACAGGGACCGCCGTTGAGCAGAAGACACCGCGTCGTCGTCGTCGTCGAAGTAGAAGGAAGTCTGAAGTTCTACTGCACTCCCAGCAGAACAAAATAATGCACGAACATAAACTGTTGGAGCTCCGCGCGGATTGCTTAGATCGGCGCTGCGGCTGCGGCTGCGGCTGCGGCTGCTGCGGCTGCGGCCAGGGGATGAAGACCCCGGGCTCGCTGCGGCTGTGGCTGCGGGGACGGCCTTGAGATGAAGACCCCGGGGCGCAGCTGCGGTTGCGGCTGCGGCTGCGGCGGCTGCGGCTGCGGCTGGCCCGCCTTGGCGGCGCCGCTGGCGCCGCCCCCAGCGCGCTCCGCGCGCCACGGAGTAGGGAGCCCACGAAGGACGTACGCACCCAGCCACGTACATGAACACGGCCTCCCACTCCGCGAGATCAGCCTCGTGATGCGAGCGTTCGCGGAATGCGCACTCGCGAAACCAACGTGGACTCGTGCACATGTACGTCACTATTTCGCTCCTGAGGGAGGGGGTCCAGCACCGATCCACGAAATCCGAGCGGACCTCCAACAATTTATCAAGGGCTCCCAACTTCGCGCTTCGCGCTCCGCGAAGCGCGAATAACTTCGCGCTCTCGCGCCGCCCCCCCAAAGGGAGAAAAGGAGGACGAGGAGGAGGGAGAGAAGGAACGAGGATCGCGAAGCGCGAATAACTTCGCGCCCTCGTGGGAGCCCTTGTGTATGTTATTCTCGCTTGTTTGGTTCCTCGAGTTCCGCCCAGTCACCCGTGCCTTTCGCCCTCGCAGCGCCCGTGGTCGAGCGCGGTCACAGGGCAGAGAGCGGCGCGGCCTTGATGGAGACCTTCACGCCATTGCCGTCGCCGTGCTGCTCCTGCCGGAGCGGAGCCGGCCCGAGGAAAGCAGAATCTCTTCCTGAAGCGTACAACGAAGCAGGCACAACCATGCATCACTTCTTGAAGCGTGCCATGCCTCGCTACTCTTCTTCTGCCACCAATGTACCAGACAGCGTGCCGGGCCTCGATCCCCAGAATGCTCCCCAGCAGAGCTGGCTCGGCAAGCATCCTTATCTTTCCAACTTTTCGCGTCGGCTCCTCAAAAGAGCTGACTCGGCAAACGAACCCCGCGGAGCCACACGCAATGTTAAGTCGGCAGCGCAGAGGGTCCTCAAGCGGGCAGCAGATGGACCCAGCCACACAGACACACACATACGCACATATACACACCCGCGCTCGCGCTTCAGCCGACAAATCATCCGCCTGCCGGCGCGCCCTGCTTCGCTACCGCGCACGGAAGGTGCCTAAGAGAGCGATGAGAGGCATGGTGAGTTCTTCAGAGGGCCCGGTGGGATCAAGGAAGGAATCCAGAAGGTGCCCCAGGATGGATCTGTCCGTGGAAGGCCCCGCCGAGTCACCCCTCCCTGCCACCACTCTGAACAGCTCCCTGGATCCCTGTCCGAGGTATGAGAGTGGCGGCGGCCAGGGTGAGAATCGCGGGCGAGTAGGCCTGCGTGCACGTCCCACCTGCGCCCCTGGGTCGCCCGCAGTCCCGGCAGGGTGTGTGTGTGTGTTGAGGCGGGCAGAAAGATAACTATTTATCTGGCAAGTGCTCTGCTATTCGGGCGGATGCTACAATCAAACCTCCGTCCTTTCTTCATGCCATCTTCGTCAAGCCCTCTCATCCCCCGCCTTCCCATCCCTGCGTCTTCTCATCCGCAGCATCATTCCACCCTTCCCCAGCGACCCGGCGCGGGCATGGCAGGTGCGATACAATGGCGGCGCGCGGGGTCCTCGACAAAACTGTCCACCGTTCGAGTTTTGCTGGCCAGGCCGAGCCGTCCACACGGTGACTCCACGTGAGCCAATCATTTGCTTCCACGAGCGGGTGGGGACCACGCGGGAATCCGTTACTTTGGCAACACGCCGCAGCGATGCGGCGTAAGGGAAGGATGAAGGGGCCCAGGGACACACAAATAAACAAACACCCCCTCTCCTCCTCCCTCCAATTCCTGATCCACCCAGTGCTCTTCCCCCCTCTTCTTTCTCCCTTCACCTCCCCCCTCCCTCCTCCTTCCCCCTCCCTCATCCTCCCCCTCCCTCGTCCTTTCTCTCCCTACTCCTCGTCACTCAGTCCGTTGGAGGTCCGGGGAAGAGGAGGAGCAGGAAAAGCTAGAAGAGCAAGACAATCGGTCCTCCTCCTCCTCCTCTTCCTCGTCGTCTTCCCTCCTCCCGAAGAGCTCCAGGACGAATTTGATTAAATTGTTCTGTGTTTTTCCGCGTCCTCGCCTCTTCGAGCTTCCGAAGCTTCAAAAGGGCCGAGGAAGCCCCCCAAATCGGCCAAGACGACCCACGAGCCTGCCAAAAGCGCTCCAAAACAGCCCAAGACGGCCCCAAGCCGGCCCCCAAATACGGCCCCAAATACAGCCCGAGACGGCCCCAAGAGGCTCCTGAGAGGGAATCCACCAACCGACATTTCGAGCCTTCCGTCCCAAGAGGCCCCCAGGAGGCCCCAAAAGGCGCCCCAGACGCCACCAAGAGGCCCCAGAGGCCCAAGAGAGTCCCAGGAGCTCTCCCAAGAGAACCCAAGAAGGCCAAAATCAAAGATTTTCCTTCGCCTTTTGAATCTCTTCATCGTCGCTGTCTTCGTCGTCGTCCTCACTCAGGGTCGGCGGCACCCGCCGTAAGGCCTTCGCAATAAACACAAATCCCAGGATACGCCCATGTCTTTACATATTCGTGGACTTTCGTCTTTCCTTCATCTCCCATATCTTCGCAGATGTTCCTGGAAATATGTGTTTACTTGTGTCTGTGTCTGTTTCCCCCTCCTGAAAGGAAGACGTGGCAATTCACTCCTGCTGCTCCTGGGACGTCGTGGAAGCACCGGAAGGCCCGCTGCGGTCGGCCCAAAGGCCCCCCTGTTTTTCACACCGACGCCGGTGCTGGCCCGGGCCCACCCCGGGCCCCGGAGTGCTGCGTGCATCGATGCCCTGACCAGGCCAAGGGTAGCCCGCATGCTGTGCGGATCCTGGGCCCGGGATGGGCCTGCCCAGCGTCAGCGCCTCTGCGCCGTTGGCGGCTCCACACGCCCGAGGCACGCGGTACGAGGCCGAGCGTAGCCTCGAGGTCGGAGTTCGAACTGCTCCCCCCGCGGACGGGGTCCTCGTCGCTGCGCGCCTGGGAGCCGCTCTCCAAGGAGTCGCTCCTGGGACCGCACAACCGTTCAGTTGGCATAGTCATGCTCCACCTCCTCCGCTCATTCTGTCATTTTCTCCCCCTGTTGCTCGCTCTTCCTCCTACTTCTTCACATCGTCGTCACCATCCTTCGCTCTCCTCATCCACCTTCTCTTCCTCCTTCGCCTCGGCCGCCGCCTTCTTTGTACATGGGCAACATGGTGCTTATGGGGCGCAAGTGCATGGAATGATGTTCCCCATAAGGGCGAATTCTGGAAGGGGTCGCGGTTCAGATGATGAGAACCCCGTCCCGCGCACACCAACTCCAATTGTCATGGGCGCTCGTGCCTGCGTGCTCGCGTGCGTGCGCGTGCGCGTGCGCGTAAGCATGCGATTGCGTGTGTGGGTGTGTGTTTGTGGTGTGGTGTGTGTGTGTGTGGTGTGTGTGTGTGTGCGCGCGCGTGCGTTTGTCTCAACTCGGATTGGACTTGCATGTAGATTATTGTACGAGTGTCGGGCGAAGTCCTCGAACGACCTGTGAGCCTTGCAGAAATAATCAATTTTGATTCATCGGATTCCAAGCTTGGAAGCGAGGTGCAGGGTAAGCCGCATGTGTGCTCCAGCCGCTTGAAATTCAACACTACTGTGCTCAAATTGCAGATTATTCTCGAATAGTCCGTTTGATGTTTGCCGTGCAGCTCCTCACATTCTCACTCATGTTGTACCAATGCCTCCAGAACCCGAGCTTTAGAGGCCAACTCAAAGCCCACTCAAGGGCTGCATACGCGTGTAAATCTCGAGCCCCGCAGGATCAGTTGCCGCGATCGTGATTGGACACACTGATTCTCCTTCTCAGGTGGTTCTGGACGCACGCGGCTATACGAACGCTACTCGTCCAGCTGCCTGACTTGGAGGCCCCCGACTTGAACATACGATTCGACACTCACTTTTCATTTATGCGTGCCAAGTAAAAGGGAGCATTCACCGTCAGACGGCTTTGTGTACCGCACCCTGGCTTCCGTATCCGTTCATGTTATGTTCTCGATCGGTTGTGCAGCAAGACAAGAGTCTTTGTTGATCGTGCAGTTGTCCTTCGGATTGGCGATTCCTGCAGATCGGACACACCATGGCTATGCACCTCCGCCGAGATAGAGAGATTCGCATACATGACACACCGCGACTTCAACAGGAGCACGCGCGCCATCTACCGCACACGCTTGGAGACTCAGCAGGCCCATTGGCGGTCCCAGCAGACGTCGATGTACCAAGAGGCTTTCCAGCTCTGGCTGCCCTTGTACAACTGATGAATATTGCTCGGTGGCTGATGGTTCCCAGATTTCTCCTCTGTTTGTATTTATCGCGTTTCACAATACTTGGATGCGCGAGAACGCATCCATGCTCGCACTGTGGTCGCCCAGTACCCTTACCAATGGTGCCAATATTGTTTTGGCTGCGTGTGCCACCCTCATCAACAACTCGTTTACTTTTTGGCAATACAATTTATAAATGTCACAACCTCAAACTGATCCTCATGCTTGTTCTCTGTGCGCCCTTGCTTCCGTGTGCTGCTGGTGCGTTGCCGGCTGCTCGAGATACTCCGATTCGTGAGCATACGCGCACATGTGCCCCATTTGCTTCCGTGGATGTATATCCGATATTGTCAGCACCCGTTCAAAAAAAAAAACATGATTGCAGGTTGGTGGGCTAAACTTGCAATGCGTTCGGATTTTTGCGACCGCGCACCTCACGCGTCGGTGACGGCATCAATTCTCAAAACTGGCTTGTGGCAATGCCTGCGTATATTTCTGTCGAATACGTTCCTTGAGGCCACGCACACGATTCAAACGGATGTTTTTTTAGGTTTGCCAAAGACGGGCATCGGCGTTCACGTGCATGCGTTGCTTACGGCGATCACAGTTTGCGTCTCGCAATCTCGTGTTAGAAGTGTCTTCCCCAACCATCCTGTGGTGTTGGGTCCTCGTTTTGAAGAGACGGTGCCGCGCGTCTCCTCCTCTCCTCTTCTCTCCTCTCCTCTCCTCTCCTCTTCTCTTCTCTCCTCTCCTCTCCTCTCTTCTCTCTCTCTCTCTCCTCTCCTCCTCCTCTCCTCTCCTCCTCCTCCTCCTCCTCCTCCTCCTCCTCCTCCTCCTCCTCCTCCTCCTCCTTCCTCCTCCTCCTCCTCCTCCCCTTCCTTGTCTTTGTTTTCCGCATGTCTCTGTTTCGGCACACCTCTCACACGCTTCGTGGCCCCATGGGGAGATCCATCGAAGGTCCCAGTGGCGCAGCCCGCATGGCGCCGCCGCTCCATTTTGGCACACCCCTCACACGTTTCGTGGCCCATCGGGAGCTCCACCTAAGGTCCCAGTGGCGCAGCCCGCATGGCGCCGCCGCCCCATTGTGGCACACCCCTCACGCGTGTTGTGGCCCGATGGGGAGCTCCATCTAAGGTCCCGGTGGCGCAGCCCGCATGGCGCCGCCGCCCTATTTTGGCACACCCCTCATACGCTTCGTGGCCCCATAGGGAGGGAGGGAGGAGGAGGAGGAGGAGGAGGAGAAGGAGGAGGAGGAGGAGGAAGAGGAGGAGGACCGCCGTGGCCGCTGTCGCCGCCGCCAATGCCGCCGTCGCCGCCGTCGGCGCCGCCGCCGCCATGCTCGCGGCCCCACAGGCGAACGGGAAAGAGAGTCCCCTCCCACTCCTCCTCCTTTCCCTCTTCCTCGCCCTCTCGGGGCGACCAGCGCGCGTCGCGGGAAGTCCGCGCTGACCTCTGCCCGGAGCCTCGCTCGCCCCCGTCGTCTGTTCCCATCGGCCACAGCCTTGCCCGCTATCAGCCAGCCAATTAGTTTTTTTTGTTGTTCTCTCTCTCTTTCTCTCTCTCTCTCTCTCTCTCTCTGCTTCGCGCAGCAGACGACCCGTGCTCGTCGCCGGGACCCCTTCGGGGCGACCGGCGTGCGTCGCGGGGACTCCGTGCGGCGCCGCGCCCGCAGCCTCGGACATGGGCGTGCACGGGCAAAGAGAGAGAGAGAGAGAGAGAGAAACACAAAAAAAAGGAAGGAAGCAGGCGCGATCCTCGGGAGGAGCGTGCCGACATGGGCGTCGACGTTTATGCACGTAGACTGATTCGCACGCAGACTCATTCACAATCAGACTCACTCGCCGCGCTCAGTCTCTCGCACACAAACATATCGTCTTCGCTCGCGTTGTGTGCCCCGCCACGCATTTCGGCACGCCCCTCACACGGTTCGTGGCCCCATAGGGAGCGCGGGCAAGGATGATGTTCATAATTGCGGTATTCACAACTGCATGTGGTTGGGTCTTTCGCCAAGATAGTTCTCGGCGGTCGTAAGTCACGCGCACGTGTAACGCAACTCTGCCACAGTTTCCCGCCGTTGCTTCAGAAGGCCCTCTTTCGTTCTGGTGAGGCTTGTCTGACAGAGGCGGTGGCGCTGTTTCAGTTCGTATACCTGCAAGCTCGCTGCATTCAGGACCCCAAGCCTCGCCGAGCTGGAGACCCTCCTGAGTCAGCAAGCTTCGTCTACCAGCTGGGCTCCGAGAGTCTGTACACTGGACAACGGTGCCCTCGCCAAAGGTCCCGCTGGCCTGTCGAGGGGCGCTGGCAGATCTCGCGAGCACCTCCGAGGCCTCCGCTGTATGGCCCTGGGAACCCCGACGAAAGAACGAAGCCGGTGCCTGCAACCGGCTCCTGGGTGTAGTTCCTGGCTTCTGCTCGCATCGTGTACACGTCCTCACATCGTGTACACGCCCTCACATCCTGGCGTCCTGGACATCACCCCCTCACATCGTGTACACGCCCTGGGGAGCGCGCAAATGGCATGTTCACGCCCTCTGGCTAATAATCGGAGTAGCCCGCACCTTGGACGCCTGCGCGCCCGACATCGTGAACACCCTCGCGCACGTCGGCACCGCTGGACGCGTCGAGCACATGAGCACGCATCGGAAGCACACACCATCCTAAACCAAGCCTGGCACGAGAAACATGTACATGATCTCAGTTTTAAGTCTATGGGCTTCTCTCAGTACTCAGCAGCACGACATGAATGGCAACACCTTCTACACCTACTACGCTGTAGTGAACCCTAAGTCGTAACGATGCAATGACGTGTTCACTCCTCTCCGTTTCTTGGTCCGCTGTATATTGCTGGTGAAGGCTCTACCGTGCTCGTGCTAAAATGGGTCTCCGTAGCAGCCATGGATATCCCGCGAGCTTTGATCTATCTCTATATATAAATACACACACACACTAGAATCACACGCGCACGCTTCGCACGCGCGTAGGTTCTAGCTAGGCTTCGCGGTCGAACTTTGAAGACCAATCCCTCTGGGCCACCCAAGAACTACGCCAAAGGCCCAAGTGACTTCCAAGACCTCCTGAGGCCATCCCACAGCGACCTAATAATGGGCCAAGAAGTCGTCGTCGTAGATCTGTGTATGTATATGTCGACGTATATGTATATGCATGTGTATATATATGTGTATGTATATGTACAGGTGTGCATGCCAATGCATTTCTATGTGAACATATATATATACATGTGCATGGAACTGTGTATGTATGTATATATATATATGTATAGATGCGTACCGTTATATGTGTATGCATGTGTACGCGTATACATATATACATATGTATAAACTATAATGGATCGTATATAACGTATACGGTATAATGTATATATATATATACACATGTAAATGTAGGTGTATGTGTAGATGAGTGTGTAGCTGTATATGTACATGTATGCGCACATGTATATGAGCATGTGTACTAGCATGTGTGCGTATGTATATGCATGTGAATTTGTATGTGTCGATGTATGGGTGTATATGTATGTATGTATATATATGTATATATAGGCATACTAGAACTACGCGCACGCTACGCGCGCACGCTTAGGTTCTAGCCGACTCCGCAGTCAGTGTCAATAGGCTTTGCACGAATCCACACAACCGAAATACCAAAGAAGAAATGCCCCGAGCGCAGGCCATTCTTAGCGGTGCCAGGCCTTCTGGTGGAT